GCTTTATTTCCAAGCAACCTGACCAGAGCGGCCAGGGGGTCCAGAACTACAAACTAGTAGAAAGGAGAACACAGTTACATGTTCCACTGGCAGGGTCTCAGTCGGGAATCTCACCAATTCCTCCTGATCGCCAAGCACCTGCTCAGGTTCCTCTTCAGGCTTGAAGAACCTCATGACATCTTTGTTGTCCAAACACACCTATTTCAAGAAAGAAAACATCTGGAGGCAACTTGAGGGAATCTGCTTAATTATTAAAATAAATATTTACATGGAAATACAGTTATTTTAGTTCTTCACATTTTCACACTTAAAAGAGACACAGAGATTTCCTTCATGTTTTCAGCAGTGGAGTTGGTAAAGATCCTGCCTGTTTCATAGGAAATGTATTACTTTCGATTACTCCTCACAACAGCCACCTGGAAGATTATTCCATCACTTTTGAAGGACTGGATTACTTTCAATTCCTCACAACAGCCACCTGGAAGATTATTCCATCACTTTTGAAGGACTGGTTGGGTTGGCATCTGCAATGGTAGCCAAATAAATGAGATTTCTGTGTAGCACATGCTGGTACCTACGGTGAAAAACAGGCAAAAATTAGTCTTGTTTTTACTGAACATGAACAAACAACTGGAAGAGAATTTACCTACTCTAGTGGAAAGGCTCATCCACTGACTGATGAGTCGGTGTTAGCCACCTTCTTGTTTAACACTTTCAAGGAAAATATATCCACTTATTTCCATAGGCACCTCTCTAGACTATGGTATTGAACCAAACTTCTAAACTGGCCCCTGTGCTCTATCTCTGTACCCCTACACATAACAGCCTGAGTGATCACTGTGCAATTTAAGTTAAGATCATGTCCTATCTCTGTTTAGTACTTTTCAAAGGCTCCCATCTCATTCTGAGCAAAGCTGAGCCCTTCTCGTGGCCCACAAGGCCCTACAAGATCGGGACCTCTAGTTGCCTCTCTGATCTCATCTTCTACCACTTTCCCTTTGCTCACTGAGTTCTGGTTACAGCGGCATCCTTGCTGACATTTAAAGACATGGAGCACACTCCAGCCTGGGGGCTTTTCCACCTCATGCTCTGCCTCACATACTGCACAGCTGGCTCCCTTACCTCAGGTATCTCCTCAAATGTCACATTAGAGATACCTGGTATAACACAGCACCCTGCCCCCCACTTACCCACACTTTATTCTTATTCAAAGAGTTATTAGCATGTGCTTAATTATATGATCTCTGGTTGGGTTGGCATCTGCAATGGTAGCCAAATAAATGAGATTTCTCTGTGGCACATGCTATACAAAAGGTAAGCTCCACGCCTGCAGAGCTACTGTTTTGGTCCTGATTCCCCAGTAGCTAAGACAGTTCCTGGTACTCAGCGGGACTTACAAAATACCTGAACAAACTTAAAAGCAGGGATGGAATACCTCCACGTGTGCTTCCTATTGTAGCGATTCTCGGTCAGGGAGTCGAGCTCCCTACCAAGGAAGAAAAGTCAGACTAGGAAGCAGGAGCCATGGCAGGTGCAATGTGAAAAAGCCCACCAGGAGACTTTGATAACTTTCTTACCCAGAGGCTGAGAATCACTGCACCAAATGGAATGCTTTGCAACTCCTTCTCATATAGAAAAATGGGAGTGTTTACTATAAACTGCAAAAAAGCAAATGACCAAATACCAGAGTCAAATGTAAAAACTTATCCAAAGACGGATTATCTCTACTATTCCACTGAGCTGTTCAGTGTAGGATTGTAGGTGATTTCTTTTTTTTGCGGGGGCGGGGGGGAGTATGTCTTTCTTAACTATGACTTCCGTAACAATGAAATAATGTATTTCTCTATAATAAACGGCATAATTCCTGGACTACATTTAGAAAACAGACTATTTTCTCTCACTAGAGCACATTAAATTACTGTACAAAATTTACCTCTGGCTTAACTTAGACATCTTTCATTGGTCTTAGTGTGTTAACGTTGCAAAGTTGGAAATGGGAGGGAACTTAGCAACCAAATGGTCTGACCCCACCCAACTGAACAGAAAAAGGGTGAGCCGCCGGGGATCCACGATAAGACAGCCGCCGCCGCCACCACGCGCTCCCAGGAGCACGGCTACCCCTTTATTTCCTCTCAGGCTGCCTCTCCTAAACTGTAAGGGTCCCCAAGAGACTTGCAATCACGGGAGCAACGGGCAGTGGCAGCTCACCCCAGGCCAGCCCCGGAATCTGTCTCCAAGGCCCCTTTTCTCTGACTTTCCAGGGAGCCACAGCAGCCCCGCCCAGGCTCTCTCCTGCAGCTTCTTCCACCCTAAGCCCTTCCTTGTGTCACTGTTCCCGGCTTTAATACACGCACCCTAAAAACAGGAAAGAGAAAGCAGCCGCCAGGATCATCTCCCAAGACCACCTTCCCATGTGCTTCCCTCCCCATCCCCGTTGTCAGCAGCTGGCATGGCTTCGGGTGACGAAGGCTTTGCCATGAGCATAACTCAGGTTTTGAAGCGGATGCCACCTCTGACTCCAGGCTTCACAGGGTGCAGTCCCACGGTGCTGGGCAGGCAGGCCACCGCTCTGATCCTCCCCGGAAGAGCTCGTGACAGCGGCTGTGTCACCACACAGGCTTCCACGCCACTCAAAAGTAAGGGGAGGGGCCTGGCCGGTTTGGCTCAGTGGATAAAGCATCCACCTGCGGACTGAAGGGTCCCGGGTTCGATTCCGGTCAAGGGCACATGCCCGGGTTGTGGGCTTGATCCCCACTAGGGGGCGTGCGGGAGGCAGCCGATCCATGATTCTCTCTCATTCATTGATGTTTCTAACTCCCTCTCTCCCCCTCTGAAATCAATAAAAATATATATTTTTTAAAAAGTAAGGGGAGGGAGCTGGGGACTTACTGGACGCACTCGTTCGCCCGGCCTTTGTTCTGATACTCCACGATACAGCGGATCAGCTGGTCATTCTCCTCCAGGAGCTGCAAGATCAGAGGAGGGGTCAGTGCCACACGACACCACGGCGTGAAGGAACCTGCCCACGGCCTCACAGCCCCGTGCCAGGCTGTCCTGCCCCGGCGCCTCTGCTGACTTGGTTTCCCTCTCACCCCGACCCCAGAGTCAACACCCGGGTGTCGGCGGGGATGCCGCCACCCAAGGAAGCTTCCCGCACCGGCGGCCCTTTCCGGTCCTCGGCTGAAAAACCCCTCCCCTCGGTCCGCGTTAGCGCTCACCCGCTGGATGGTCTCCTGATTGACTTGCGCCTTGCCTCGCAGCCAGTCCGGTACGAAAGCCACCGACATCCCGGGAAGCCAGGTCGAAACCGGGTCCCAGGCCCCGGAAACCCCCGCGCCGCTAGAGCAGAGCCAACCAGCAGCTCCACACACTCCGTGGCAGGGACCCTGGGAAGGTCGGGGTTAGCTCTTGATGTTGATTGGTCCTCCCGCTTAGAAGGCGGGAACAGGCGGAGCGTCGTCTGTGATTGGACACGCAAGACTGTCCAGCTGTTGCCGGCGGATCCTTCGCGGTTGCGCAGTCTGGGAAGCGAGCTTGGGGCGGGGCCCGGCATCAGCGCTGGCTTTTTAACCCTCTGTAGTCTGTAGGCAGGAGCACCGCACCTGGGTCTGAGAATCGAGAATCTGGGCTGGAACCCAGGAAGCTGGCTCGGCCAAGTCCACTCCTCTTCCCACATTACTCCCGTGCCTCCAGTTTGCGCCTGGAGGGAACCCTGGGCACTGTCTCCTCCCAAACCAAATGCCCGCAGGGCCAAGGAAAACACTGCTGAGCTTTATGATTTGCGGAGGGACAAACACATATATATATACTGTTTGTTCTTTGGGCAATAATAATGCTTTATGAGGTTTACACAAGGCATGAGTACCAGGGGGTGTCCAGCTGTTGCCGGCGGATCCTTCGCGGTTGCGCAGTCTGGGAAGCGAGCTTGGGGCGGGCCCGGCATCAGCGCTGGCTTTTTAACCCTCTGTAGTCTGTAGGCAGGAGCACAGCGCCTGGGTCACTCGAGGATCGGGGCTGGAACCCAGGAAGCTGGCTTGGCCAAGTCCACTCCTCTTCCCACATCAGTCTCGTGCCTCCAGTTTGCGCCTGGAGGGGAACCCTGGGCACTGTCCCCTCCCAAGCCAAATCCCCGCAGGGTCAAGGAAAACACTGCTGAGCTTTATGATTTGCGGAGGGACAAACACATATATATATACTGTTTGTTCTTTGGGCAATAATAATGCTTTATGAGGTTTACACAAGGCATGAGTACCAGGGGGCAGGGTCCCCTGGAGGTCGACTTGGACTCTATCATTACTCTCTCTTGTTTTTTGTGTTTGTTTTTTTACATTGAACTGCAACCTGTATACTCAATTGACAGCATTGACATCCCAATTAGGAGTCTCAGAGGTGACTCAAATTCAGCTTGTCTAAGATGGAACTGAGGACCAATCTTCTCTCCAAAATCAGATCTTTCCCCATATCTATGAGTCCCTCCACCACCCACCCATTCCCTCAAGGCTGAACAGTGGCATCATTCTTGAACCGACCTTGTCACCCTTTCACATCCAGTTCGTCACCACGTCCTGTTGATTTTGCTCATACACTTCTCTGCACGCTGCCTAATTCTCTTCCTCATCAGCGTCGCTCTGGTCCAAGCTCCAGCTTCATCCTCTCTTACCCAGATGACTGCATTGGCTTCCCACCTGGTGTGACCACAGCTTCCATTTGGGTCGTAACGTCAAGCAGCCAAAGTGATTTTTACAAAATGCAAACCTGTTCAGTATTTCACTGCCCTAAACTGTCTACCATGGCCTACAAGATCCTACCTGGTCTTACCTCTTCTAGTCTCTCTAGTGCAGCGGTTCTCAACCTGTGGGTCGCGACCCCTTTGGCGGTCGAACGACCCTTTCACAGGGGTCGCCTAAGACCATCCTGCATATCAGATATTTACATTACGATTCATAACAGTAGCAACATTACAGTTATGAAGTAGAAACGAAAATAATTTTATGGTTGGGTCACAACATGAGGAACTGTATTTAAAGGGCCAGAAGGTTCAGAACCACTGCTCTAGTGGCTCTCACTTTACTCCTTTACTCTCTAAAGTCAGAATTTAATTTCTCTCTCTTTTTTTTTGTGTGTGTCAACATAGACATAACATTAAATTTACCATCTAACCATGTTGAAATGTACAATTCAGTGGCACTTAGTACATTTACATGGTTGTGCAACTATCACCACCATCGATTTTCACCATATGTCATCTTGTCCAACTGAAATTCTGTGCCTATTACATACTAACTCCCCATGTGCTCCCCAACTTCTTGTCATCCCTCAAGGAGTCCCGTTGCCTTGCACACAGAGTCCTTCCTACGGGATCCCGTTCCCTTCTGTCTGAAACGCTCTTCTTCTCCTTTTTGTCCTGGTAGCTACTAAGCCAGTGTCACGTTCTCAGAGAGGCATCACCGGACAACAAAGTCCAGGCCAGAAGACGCTGTAAATTCTCTCTAAAAAAAAAAAAAAAAAAAAAAAAGCTTGCTCCTCCCTGAAGAGCGCATATCTCGGTTTGTATCTAAACACGGGTGATGTAATTGCTTGATGGGTGCTCTCACTCTGCCCTCCTCTCTTCGCGTAGTTTTCAGTGTCAGGAGTTCCTCGCCATGGGCGCAGTGCCTAGCATAGTGCCTGGCACACAGCAGGTGCTCAGAACTGTTTGAAAGAATAAATGGGTGAACTCTGCTGCCCAGTCTCCCTGGAGCCCATCTGTGAGAGCCTCCGACCCGGCCCGGGGTGTGTCCCTAGACTTTGGCATCTCTTCCAGGCTGGCAGGAGGCTGTGCTCTTTGGTTTGCCTATCTCGGGCCGGCCGCCCAGCCGTGCGGACGTCGGAACCCACGCCCGGAACCCTCGCCTCGGCGTGTCAGTGCTGTTTGCTACTCCGGCAGGAATCGAGCTTAGACCGTGAGGCCTCCTGCCACTTCCCGGCGCGAGAAATACAGGCCTGGACCTCGGACCCTGCGGGTGAGCGCGGGGAAAGGGAAGAGAGCTGGGAGGCGCGCGCCCAGCCACGCCCCCTCTGCCTGTGTGTTGTGGCCCTTTAAGAACGACTTCATTCTTAACCCTGCCGGGAAGGGCGGCGGAGTCACGCCAGGATTGGTCGGTTCGGGTGTGAGTGTTGCTTAGCAGCAGCGAATGGGAGTTGAAGACGCGCGCATGCGCACTGTCCCCTACCTGCGCCTGGGCTGCCAGTGACCTGGGCTGGGTCTGCCCTGGGGGCTAAGGTAGCGGACGAAGCGGCGGGTGGCTCGGCGGCGCGGAGGGAGGCTGCGGTCTCCCTTCCTGGTGCCCGCCGCTCTCCAGACTGGGACCCTCCCAGGCGCGCACCTGCAGAACTGTCAGCTGTCAGATGCGCACCGAGCGCCGCTTCCGGTGGGAGGAGATGGGTGTGTCCAAAAGAGAGGGCGGGCGATTATTTCCTTAATTATCCACGAAACTCATGCCAGGAGTATCGTTTAGTTTTAACAGCAGACTTCCCTTGGCCTGCAGATCTTGTAAGATTTGGTTTATCAGATCATGGCTGTACTGGACCAGCTTTTCTGAACACCGGGTGTAGGAGGAGGTGGTGTACTTGTGTGTCCATTGTTAAGCTTACATCTGGACCTCCAGAGCCAGAGAGAGAAAGCACCCCGGGGGAGAATTAGGATTGGAGAAACCAAAGCCACAAAAAGAATATCACGAGTGTTGAAGAGTAATTGGTGACATTTGCGACATGGTCAGAAAGAATAAAGTAATACAATAAGGAGCCATTGCAACAGGTGCCTACGAACAGGTCTGTGATTAGTTTTGAGTTTCAGTGCCCCTAGGGGAAGGAATTGTTTTAGAGAGATGGAGTAGCGGTAATACCAAAGATTGGATTTGAGAAGCAATAGTGTAGTGGAAAGATTATAGGCTTTCGAGTATTTTGAGTAATAAAATCTGGGTTTGAATCCTGGCCCTACCACTTGAGCCTTGCAGCTACACTATTCACACCCGTCCAGTGCAGATTATGCCTACTTCGTAGTCATGAGCACTAAATAACATTATCAATGGAAGAGTTTCTAGCACGGCGCCTGGTGTATAATATTCGTTGCCATCACTTTCAGTCCCCTCCTTTTCCTGAGCTCTTAACAATTGACAGTTGACCTCTACCCTCCTCCCCACCCCATCCCCAAGCAAAGTGGAACAGAGGCGCCTTCATGATCTACAAATCTTAAGTCCTGTGACTGAGAGCGAATTCAGTAAGGGTGACATGACTCGGTTTTGTTTTCTGTATTGTGTATATGAGGATTAGGCAGTACGCCTTACGGTGAAAACTTGTGTGTGAATATTAGTGTGCCAAATGCGACTTGTTTTGCTTGTTTAAGTTACCATTTCGCCAAGCCTGGTCATTTCTCCGGGAGAGGGTTAAGGATAAAGGGGAGAGGAAAAATTAAAAAACTTGGGGAACCAGGGTGGCCTCTAGCTAGGCACAACGTTTTTGCTGGTAGAAAAGGGATTCTCTGTGACACGAGCAGTTTATAAATAGAGCTGAGAAGAGGATTTAGGAAATGGGGGAGGCAGATTAAAATATTTTATCAGATCGAGTCGTACCTCAGTCTGAGAAGGTCGCATGGAAAGGGTGGATTGGAGACAGGCCTTGATGTGGGTTTGGATATGGGGAGGTCAGAAAAGTGGCAGATATAGACGAAGAATAGGCCCAGAAGTGACAAGAGTGGTGTACATCCTGGGGGCTCCCCTTTCCTACCGCTCCCAGGAACTGAGGTGCCGAAAAGGTTACGTGTCTAGAGTTCCTTGGAAGAAAAGCCCACCAGTGTGTGAACCTATTCACATCCTCTCGAAAACAGGATCTGTGAGACGGGATGTGTGGGGGAGTGGAAAGACCTGTTCAAGCTGCCGTGGCCGCCTCACTAACCCCGGGTTGCGGGGCTGCCGTGCAGATGTGCGCGCGATGCCCTGTACAAGCACCTGCGGAGTTAACAGATGGGGCTAAAACCCAGCCAGGCTCTGTCAGCAGAACTGGCCCGGGCTGCTTCGACCGGGGAAGTACCTTGTTCTAATTTGCCAAAGGCACCACGAGGGCTCAGAATCTGTTTCCTTTGTTTCTTAATGGTGTTCACATATCAAGGCCAAATGTTGCGTATCTTCCTGTAATACAATTCGCTAAGTGATTTCTGTTAACCATCTGTAGGCGCTCAGTCATCATTTTGAAGACTGGCCCTGTATCAAAAATTTGCAGAAATTCAGGAGGACCTGCTGTATGTACTCTCTCAGCTCCATCTTTGCCCTCTGCTCTCCTTTCTACCTCCTTTAGGTTAGATGCTTAGGATCCCTAAGCTGCTTAGCACCTACGTCCCTGGGTGACCTGAAATGCACCGGTCCCTGGACCCCATGCCTGCTCTTCAGCATCAGGCATATCCTTCCCCTTTGGCGTCATCTTGCTACCTGTGTCCAGCTACCCACTGCTCTCTCAGCTCCATCTTTGCCCTCTGCTCTCCTTTCTACCTCCTTTAGGTTAGATGCTTAGGATCCCTAAGCTGCTTAGCACCTACGTCCCTGGGTGACCTGAAATGCACCGGTCCCTGGACCCCATGCCTGCTCTTCAGCATCAGGCATATCCTTCCCCTTTGGCGTCATCTTGCTACCTGTGTCCAGCTACCCATTGTCATTGCTGTTGCTCCTGAGCCCTCTGCCCCTGCCTCCTTGCTTCTCTGTTCCTTTCCACCTCATCCTGGTTGGTTTAATTTTGGAAAGGGAGAGATTCATTAGAGAAAAGGAACAGGAGGCTTATAAGAAAAGAGGAGGCACGGAGGATAATAGAGGGAGGAAAATTGGGAGTGACAGCCATAGAGACCAGGGAAATAATAAGAGAAGCAACATTCGCCATGATGGGGGGTGAGGGTGAAATGGAGCGCGCATTTCGAGGACAGGGGGTCTCTGGCACCGTCGTCTGGTCCTCAGTAACAAGGTGACCTTGCTTCCCTCAGGTGTCCTCATGACTTCTCTTGCGGACCATGTCCATGATCCTCTTTGCCTGTGTGGTAAGGGTGAGGGATGGACTGCCCCTCTCGGCCTCCACTGACTTCTACCACACCCAAGAGTTTCTGGAAGTCAGGAGACGGCTCAAGACTTTAGCCTTGCGACTGGCCCAGTATCCAGGTCGAGGTTCTGCACAAGGACGTGACTTCAGTATACAGTAAGCAAGCATGTTCACTTTCCCAGAACATCAGCAAAGCCGGGGCTACTTCTGTCATATGTTCAGGTAACGTTGTGCAGATCACATGGCATGTTAAAAGGAGACCTAGCCTGGCCGGTGTGGTTCAGTGGTTGGGTGTCGACCCAGAAACCGAGAGATTATGGTTCGATTTCCAATCAGGACACATGCCTGGGTTGTGGGCTCGATCCTCAGAAGGGGGTGTGCAGGAGGCAGCCGATCCATGATGTTTCTCCCTCACCATTGTTTCTCTCCATCCCTCTCCCTTCCTTTCTCTCTAAAAATCAATAAAAACATTTTTTTAAAAAGTAGATCTAGCATCAGACAGTGGTCGGAAGTTGTGTGTGTGCACAATAGAGTTAAGGGGGCCTTCAGCATTGCTGCTGCACCTGCTGCTTCTGTTAGTGGCATCAGGAGATCTGCCTTCAACCAGTTTTCATGCCTCTCGTATCGGAGATTTTTCTACACTGGATGCAGGGGTGGAAAAAAGGTAAAGAGGGAAGAGATACTAGATTAAAATGGCAGCGAAGAAAACGGAGCGTCAGAAAGCCAAAAATTAAGAAAAAAGACTTAAGAGTTCTTGCCTTCCGGTTTTGCTTTTTAAATTTTTTAACTTTTTGAAAAACGTTTAAATTTAAAAAATTTAGTTACGTGCCAGGAGCCTGACAATGAAAAATTAAGTCCCTCTCCTCAAGGAGCTTAAAGTATAATGAGGGAACAAGAGAAATAATTATTAAATATGATACAGGGCCTGATCCTCACGGTTTTTATCATTTCTTATTCTAGGTCTCAGAGCAAAAAGCCATTCTACGGAGGGATCAGGGCAAGGCAGGTTTTGAAATATTAGAATGGGTGGTTATAATTGTATACCATTGTTTGCTACCATCTAGGCCTTCTTTTGCTCCCAAGTGCCTTTTGCTCCCTTGAACAGTGAATTTTTAGTTGACCTGATAAGGTGGGATCCTTTCAGTGGAATTCAGTCTCAGACTCAGAAAAGCAAAAAGGAAAAGTCCAGGCCTGACTCCAGGCTCGGTGGTGGAGTCAGGTGAGAAGGGATGGGGCCCGAAGAGGGTGCCAGGTGGCAGGCACGTGCAGCTGTCACCCTGCGGTATGGGCAGTGGGCGCTCAGGAGCCAACCCTGAGCTGCGCCCGCCATGCCTGTGACTCCTTCCTCTGGAAGCCTGAGACCACCGTCCCCACTGTGCTGTGATAATCTGACATTCTGTGGGAGCTTCGTGCTGGACCGAAAACAGCATGCCTTTTCTCTGTTAGGAAAAAAGTCCATGGCTTCAAATGAAACTCTGGGCCTTTCAGTTTTTTGAAAAGTGGAGTATAAAATCTTCTACTCATTTGTCTTTGCGTTTAATAGTCACCGTTTTCACAGAGGAAACAGACTTTTTCCCTTACAGGGGAGCAGTACCATAGCTTATTTTGTAGTTAAGGAGTTGAATTACTTTCCTAGGGTTGTCATAACAAATGACCACACACTGCCCTAAAACAACAGAAATGTGTTCTCTCACGGTTCAGGAGGCCAGAAGTCTGGAGTCAGGGTGTCAGCAGGGCGCGCGCTCTCTCAGGCTCTAAGGAAGAATCCTTCCCGTGCCTCTCTAGCACCTTCTGGTGGTTGCCGGCAGTCGTCGTCACTCTGTGTTGCAGAAGCCTCATGCAGTCTCTGCCTCCGTGATTACATGGGCTTCTTCCTTCCGTCTCTGTGACCAGATTTCACACCAGTCGTTGGATGAAGGCCCACCCTAACCCGTTATGCCTTAATCCATTATGACCTCATTTCGTCTGGATTACTGCTACAAAGGCTATTTCCAAATAAGGTCATATTCACTGGTACTAGGAGTTAGGACTTCAATACATTTTTTTTGGGGGGGGGGTGGAGAGACACAATTCAGCCCATAAATAGGGGCCCTCTTTCAAGTAGGAACACCTTCAGCCTAGAGACTTGGGCTCTGCTGGAAAATGCCTTGTACAAGGAGGGTGTCATTCTTGTTTAAAAATTGAAAACGTTTTTATATAGACTTCCAATTACAAAAAGGTGGTGGATAATATAACCTAAAAACACTTCTGCCAGAAACACCCAGAAATGCGGGTATATTTATTCATTTATATATATATTCCAATCAGGACACATGCCTGGGTTGTGGGCTCGATCCTCAGAAGGGGGTGTGCAGGAGGCAGCCGATCCATGATGTTTCTCCCTCACCATTGTTTCTCTCCATCCCTCTCCCTTCCTTTCTCTCTAAAAATCAATAAAAACATTTTTTTAAAAAGTAGATCTAGCATCAGACAGTGGTCGGAAGTTGTGTGTGTGCACAATAGAGTTAAGGGGGCCTTCAGCATTGCTGCTGCACCTGCTGCTTCTGTTAGTGGCATCAGGAGATCTGCCTTCAACCAGTTTTCATGCCTCTCGTATCGGAGATTTTTCTACACTGGATGCAGGGGTTGGAAAAAAGGTGAAGAGGGAAGCGATACTAGATTAAAATGGCAGCGAAGAAAACGGAGCGTCAGAAAGCCAAAAATTAAGAAAAAAGACTTAAGAGTTCTTGCCTTCCGGTTTTGCTTTTTAAATTTTTTAACTTTTTGAAAAACGTTTAAATTTAAAAAATTTAGTTCCGTGCCAGGAGCCCGACAATGAAAAATAAGTCCCTCTCCTCAAGAAGCTTAATGAGGGAACAAGAGAAATAATTATTAAATATGATACAGGGCCTGATCCTCACGGTTTTTATCATTTCTTATTCTAGGTCTCAGAGCAAAAAGCCATTCTACGGAGGGATTAGGGCAAGGCAGGTTTTGAAATATTAGAATGGGTGGTTATAATTGTATACCATTGTTTGCTACCATCTAGGCCTTCTTTTGCTCCCAAGTGCCTTTTGCTCCCTTGAACAGTGAATTTTTAGTTGACCTGATAAGGTGGGATCCTTTCAGTGGAATTCAGTCTCAGACTCAGAAAAGCAAAAAGGAAAAGTCCAGGCCTGACTCCAGGCTCGGTGGTGGAGTCAGGTGAGAAGGGATGGGGCCCGAAGAGGGTGCCAGGTGGCAGGCACGTGCAGCTCTCACCCTGCGGTGTGGGCAGTGGGCGCTCAGGAGCCAACCCTGAGCTGCGCCCGCCATGCCTGTGACTCCTTCCTCTGGAAGCCTGAGACCACCGTCCCCACTGTGCTGTGATAATCTGACATTCTGTGGGAGCTTCGTGCTGGACCGAAAACAGCATGCCTTTTCTCTGTTAGGAAAAAAGTCCATGGCTTCAAATGAAACTCTGGGCCTTTCAGTTTTTTGAAAAGTGGAGTATAAAATCTTCTACTCATTTGTCTTTGCGTTTAATAGTCACCGTTTTCACAGAGGAAACAGACTTTTTCCCTTACAGGGGAGCAGTACCATAGCTTATTTTGTAGTTAAGGAGTTGAATTACTTTCCTAGGGTTGTCATAACAAATGACCACACACTGCCCTAAAACAACAGAAATGTGTTCTCTCACGGTTCAGGAGGCCAGAAGTCTGGAGTCAGGGTGTCAGCAGGGCGCGCGCTCTCTCAGGCTCTAAGGAAGAATCCTTCCCGTGCCTCTCTAGCACCTTCTGGTGGTTGCCGGCAGTCGTCGTCACTCTGTGTTGCAGAAGCCTCATGCAGTCTCTGCCTCCGTGATTACATGGGCTTCTTCCTTCCGTCTCTGTGACCAGATTTCACACCAGTCGTTGGATGAAGGCCCACCCTAACCCGTTATGCCTTAATCCATTATGACCTCATTTCGTCTGGATTACTGCTACAAAGGCTATTTCCAAATAAGGTCATATTCACTGGTACTAGGAGTTAGGACTTCAATACATTTTTTTTGGGGGGGGGGTGGAGAGACACAATTCAGCCCATAAATAGGGGCCCTCTTTCAAGTAGGAACACCTTCAGCCTAGAGACTTGGGCTCTGCTGGAAAATGCCTTGTACAAGGAGGGTGTCATTCTTGTTTAAAAATTGAAAACGTTTTTATATAGACTTCCAATTACAAAAAGGTGGTGGATAATATAACCTAAAAACACTTCTGCCAGAAACACCCAGAAATGCGGGTATATTTATTCATTTATATATATAT